TTTTATTTCTATTACTGTATGTCCCATGTTGCTTTTTCCTTAACAGCAGTAGTCCTAAGGGCACCAGATCCTGTCTGATCTTGAAAGCCAAGCAGAATCACATTTCTTGAATGGGAAACCACCATTGAATATCAGGTGCTGTAGGCTATATTACAGAGGAAGGAACTGGCAAGACCACTTCTTGCGTATTCCTTGCCTAAGAAAACCCTATGAGATTCATAGGGTTGCCATAAAGTCAACAGATGACTTGAAGGTATGAGCCCACACCAAAAACAGTTATGTGTTGTAAGTAATTTTAACTTTGACCACCAGGTGGAAGTGTACATTAGCTTATGTCTTCACAATCTCACCATGAACAATGAAAAGGTACATAGAAGTTGTCTTTTCCTTTACAGAACAAGAACCTAGACAGCGTGTTCATGCTGTAAGAGAACTGATCAAACAGTTGCCAAAGCCAAATCAAGATACCATGCAAGTACTCTTCAGGCACCTCAAGAAGTGAGTAGTGCTTCGGAAGGAAATGTAAATTATGTTACCTTTCCTCCTCCTCCCCCAACCCAGCTCCTTGCATTTAACTTCTACAAAACTGAGTGCAAGCATATAGTGTACTTCAATAGAGTGTAAAGTTGTGATGGGTGGGTGGGGAGGAAACAGCGATATAAAGGAAATTATTTGTTAGGAAATATATTGAACTGCATTTAAGTGCTGGTGTGTGTGTGTTTGCATATCTCAATATTGATAAATTACAACATTGTAATCAACCATTCTGTGATGTACCACAAGGCTGCAGTGCAACTATGGAGCTATACACTAGTTTTGATTTTGCCATTCATTTTATGTACTGGAAATCCTCCATATGAGGATATGCTTTGTGGATTGGTTTTTCAGTATACTTGATTTATCCTCATAAAAATCTCAGGGCAGCTAGAGATGTATGCGTACACATCAGAGCTGTTGGAACAGCATACCTATGTACAGATAGCTATTAGGAAAGTTATCTTGTTAACTGCTGTGTTGTTGTTTTTCATTTTAGAATCTGAAATGCACATTTCTGTCTTTTCAGAATTGTAGAAAATGGAGAGAGGAACCGAATGACCTATCAGAGCATAGCCATAGTCTTTGGCCCAACCTTGTTAAAACCAGAAAAAGAGACTTGTAATATAGCAGTTCATACAGTGTATCAGAACCAGATTGTAGAGTTAATTCTACTAGAACTGAATTCCATCTTTGGACGCTGAATTTCTCCAGTGAAATTGGCCTTAGCAAGACAACAGCAACTTTTTCTGGCAGAAACTGCTCTCTCGTGTATGTGATGTATTTGTGGACCAAGCAGCAACTTGATGTTTTTGCACTTTGTGGGAGAGGGAAGAGTGTGTTTTGTTTTAGCTGAGTTTTTATGGAAAGTACTGAAACTCTGAATTCCCTTACAGGTAATATTGTGACTGTTTCAAAGTTTATACGTTTTTAGTAACACTTAAGCTTCGGATCTGATATAGGTGTACACACTGGAGTCCATAGTGAGAGAAGCTAAATCTGAATGTCAGTCTGGATTATCTGGAATAACATTTTTCATTTATTATTAACTTTTGGTTTCACCTTGTTTGGGGGAAAACTCATCAACTGACTTGGAAGACCAAGGGCATTTTTAGTGAATTTCTGTGTATGCTTACATGTTAAGCTTGTAAGATAATTCCTATGTCCTGTCCACAGGGTTTCTTCATTTGACAGATTTAAATAATTGCTAATAGTGGCCAGTGGAAATTCCTCGCATGAGGTCTGCTTTTTTGTTGTTGATGTTATTTTAACTTTGTTTCACAGATTATTTCTGGTTCTCTTGAATGCACACTAGTATTACTTCTGATATGAACTGGTACATATATCCAACAGAGGATATACTGTGGTCTGTGATGAATCAGAGCTTTCAACTAATAAAGTTCATTTTTTCCAGGGTATGTTTGAGCTACATTTTATCTGAAATGAAATCATACCAAACAATCCTACCTAAAGATTGATTTGAAGAGTGCACTGGATTCCTTGTATGAACCTGTGGTAGTGAATTGGGATGTAAATACATATTGAAGGACTTTAGTGTGTTTGGCTTTTGTAATATTTATATACAAAATGGAACAGTCTCAGAATACTTTCTAGTATTATATTTCTAATCATGTGCAGATTAATAATTGATATTGTTATACCACCAATGATTTCTGAGTTTCCACAGAGTAATGAACTATTTTGAAAGCTGCACTTTTAAAAGGTAATTACATATGCAGGTAATTATAATGCAGCAGGTACTGGAATAACACTGAGTGTGTTTGCTTAAATGGTTAAAGCACTACAAGCAGAGCCTCTGGTATTATTTAATATAAACAGGAGCTACATTAGGTAAATGTATTACAAATTCTAACATCTATAAATAGCAGAACCTATGTTTGAATAGATGGATATCTAGATATAATGAAAATGCTAAATTTCAAGATTCCTTTTTACATTAATATTGTAGATTGATTTGTAAAATTGGTTTCACAAGATTTTGTTACAGGAAACATGGTCTGTGGAAGTTTTTTTAAAAATGTATTTTTCTAGACTAACTGCTGTATCTGACATTTGCTACATGGAATCTGAATAAATAAAACTGTTAGCTGTTTTGGAATTTTTTACTCCAGATTTGGGTAGTATTATGTCCTGTTGAAACCGTGGATACCAACTAATCATAACCTTTTTCTTGGTACTTTCCTACTCTCGTTATCTGTGGAAGGACTGTTGTCTTTGCCTTTTTATTTGATTATCTAACTCCAGAATTGTGGCTGCATTGCCTGATGACAGAGGTGTGTATGGAAAAAAGGGTTTCCTTAAGAAATACTGAGACCAGGTTGCTGGAGGCATTTATAATTTGGATCAAATCTGGCAGCCAACTATAACTGCTCCTGCTGAGTGAGGATCTATGTAAATGCTTTCTACTTCAGTCTTCAAGATGATTGTAACATCACACTTCAAACAAATTCAGAGATGATTGTAACATTCTGCTCCACCTGCAACTTGTTTTTGAGCACAAACCATTGTGGGGTGGAGGACAGTAACCAAGGTTATCAAGGCATGAATGACAGTGGAAAAATTCTTATCCTCCAGAAGGTGCATGGCTGCTTTGTTTGATAAAAGCACTTCTGACTGCCCAAGAGGTTGTTGCTAAGAACAAGAACAAGCCAAGGGACACTCCCAGAATGTAAATTGGCTTCTTCAAGGGAAATGTGCTCCCATTCCACAAACTGATCACATTTTTTCTCTAGCGGCACAACTTGCCAGACATCACTACCTTTGTTTTTAGTACAGAAAGTACCCTGTGTTTCCACATATAGAATTGATCACAGAAACAAAAATGAAACACAGTACTATCAGAATCAGTCTCACCCCTTCAGTGGAAAGCTGGACTAAAGTTCAACCATAATTTAAATCCCTTCAGACTTACACTGGGTTACTTTCTGACAGATGCTATATCTCAGCTTAACTTACGTCACAGGGCTATTGTGAAGATTTAAAAAAAAAAAAGGAATTCTGGAAGGAGGTAGGATATGAAAGTAAAATTTGTAGCAGTTTCCTGTTCTTCTGGATAGCTTGATAGGATGATCAATAGCATCAAAGTGCCAAAACATCCAGAATACTACCAGTCATAGCAGACTATAGTGGTATAGATGGACTGCATAGATGGACTAATAGTCTAAAATCGCATAGTAGACGAGGTTCCCTGGATGACAGAGAGGAATGGAGTACAATAACATCCAAATTCCACAAAACAGTGATACCTTTATTGGCCAACCAAAATGCACAAAATACATGTTGCAAGCTTTTGAAGCTCCAGTGGCTTCTTGCATCAGGCAGAGATGTTAAAAATCATACAGGAAGAAAAATATGTTAGTCACAACCCTGCATTTTGTAAAGCTGTGGCTGTTCTCAGTTCAGGTGTTGTTGGAGAGACATTCATGCAGGCTGGCCCCTTCATCTGGCCATGTGGGAAGTCAGGGAAAACTGAACGGAGTTATCCCCTACACTACCAAGAAACCAAGGCAAGAATCATATTTTAGGAACCTTTCTTTTGGCCCAGCTTCCTGTGAGCATTTGCAGCAAAGTGCTGCATATTGTGCCAAGTATTAACAGAATCTGCAATCTTTACATTTTCCCAATGGCTTTCAAATTTACTTTTTTCATTATTATAGCACTATGCTAATAGGAAGCAATGGTAAATATATAATTTAATGTTGACAACAAAGAACTTTTCTAAGTCCCAAACTGGATTTACAAAGTATAGGTATAAATGAGTATCTTTTTTTAAAAAGTTGAGCATAAAATTGCAATTAGCATATCAAAGCCAACAGGTCTAACAGATAGCATCTATTGTCCTGAAGTGTGGCTATGCCTCTGAACAAATGGATTTTGCTAACTCAGGGTTTGTTTTGTTAGAAATAGCTGCCGTTGTTTTCCTCAGGGAGCTGGAAGTGAGACTGCTAATTAGTGACATTCA